CATTTGCTTTAACAAGTGGAAGCCCAAGATGCATCATTTCATTAACACTAGTCTACAGCTACTTTGAAAATTACAGTATAGATGTAGTATTACACTAGAAATAACCAAAATTTTACAAAATATACAAAAAGATTATAAAGAAACACTTTATTAAAAATTATTATAGCTTAAAAACAATTTATCCCGAAGAAAACTTCACCAGAGAATGTTGAGAATCAAAAGTTTTATTTTTAAAAAAGGTTTAAACATGGTAGATGGCATTTCAAACCAACATTACACTACAAACCTAAATCCCTTTTTTTTTGGAAACTATCATTACTTTTATATTTTTTTATTCTCTTTCAAGAAAACAAGATTGGTAATTTGAATACATAACAGTAATAGGATATCGTAAGGATCAGTGAACACATGTTACTTTTAGTAGATTAACTTACATACAATAACAACGGACAGATTCTGAATCACCCTATACTATATCAAACTTTGAATAAACTTCATAATTCTCAATATGGCTCTGGTAAAATTTGGTTTCCCTCGGCCAATAATTCCTAAAATACATAAACCTTTTAGTATGGAGTTTTATTCATAATCATCGAACATATTAAGATGAAAAACATGGTTATGTTATGCACTGTGTAGTCTCAAAATTTAATTTACTCTCTGAAAAAACGTACACAAATACGTAAAAATGGCTGAAAAGTAACTGAACAGTCTGAACCATTTTTGTAGTAATACAAACACTCTTCCATAACTCATACAAAGATTAAAGTTTAATTTCTAGTTTTAGAGGATTTTCAAGCAAAGTCAGACGTCCGAGCTCTAATTCCTAGACTAAATGTTGTAAAGAGTTCCTGTAGCTTACCTATAACAAATCTTTCTGGTCTTGTTAATATTTAAACTGTTCACTTGTACTTATAACTGTTCACATCTTCCACTGAATTACAGAAACATGTCAGCAAGAAGGAAAGTACACAATTACATTAAATCTTGAAAATGAAATAACTCAAAATTGGAAAACATTTTCTATTTTTTTAAACATACGATTTAAAGAAAATCATAAAATTACTTTCAATCATCTCTTTTAAACATACACAAATATTACATGTACCTTGTTTTATACGATTAACTGAGGGTTTCTCCTTTTGAACTTTCTATGTACAGGTGATCAAATAATGTTTGAAATCCACCCTAATTGATAAGTTTCCACTGGACAGTAATTTGTGATTGTGAAAAGTTAGATCCAAAATACCAATTTTACATACGTCTGATTTGAAACATGTAAACGACTAGTTAAGAAGTATGTAAAGAAAAACTTGTGCAGTTAAATGTGATGTTATCACTTTTATCAGCTGTAAAAAAGTCTCAATGTTGGACAGTTCAGGCACTTAACATTACTGCATTTAACAAAAAATATCAAGAATATGATGATCTACAAATCATAGTAATTAGTCTGTTGAATGTAAAAATAAAACCAAATACACACACACCATGATATCTAGCTGATAAGTTTTACTATGGATTCTCTACTTCAATCCAATAGAATCCTACAGGTGGCAACTGGAACTAAAGATGCCCAGCTTATAGTATAAAACTACGTTAGATCACCCGAGTTGCCTGCTCATCAAGAACAGACTCCCCATATAAACTGTCACACTGATATACAGCCTTGCAGTACAGTAACCAGTCATTGTGCATTGTATACTTCCCAGTGTTCCCGCTACTTTTGCTGCAGCTGGGACGTATACTTCCCAGTGCTCCCGCTCCTCTTGCTGCGGCTGGGACGTATACTTCCTAGTGCTCCCGCTCCTTTTGCTGCAGCTGGGACGTATACGTCTCAGTGCTCCCGCTCCTTTTGCTGCGGCTGGGACGTATACTTCCCAGTGCTCCGACACCTTTTGCTATGACTGAAACGTATACTTCCCAGTGCTCCCACTCCTTTTGCTGCGGCTGGGACGTATACTTCCCAGTGCTCCCGCTCCTTTTGCTGTGGCTGGGACGTATACTTCCCAGTGCTCCCGCACCTTTTGCTGTGGGCTGGGACGTATACTTCCCAGTGCTCCGACACCTTTTGCTGTGGCTGGGACGTATATTTCCCAGTGCTCCCACACCTCTTGCTGCAGCTGGGACATATAATACCCAGTGCTCCGACACCTTTTGCTGTGGCTGGGACGTATAATACCCAGTGCTCCGACACCTTTTGCTGTGACTGAAACGTATATTTCCCAGTGCTCACGCTCCTTTTGCTGCGGCTGGGACGTATATTTCCCAGTGCTCCCACACCTCTTGCTGCAGCTGGGACGTATATTTCCCAGTGCGGTGAAAGTGTTAATAAAATCAAATACTTTACATTAATTGCACTATTCACCAGAGAATGACTATTTTTCCATACTTAATATACTAAGATACTTTATTTATTTATTTCTCTACAGTCACTACACTCCAAACTGCCTTATGCTCACGTCTCATGCTAAATATATCTATTATTATACATGTGATTTCTCAAAGTATCTCAGTTGCTATACATTCTTCATGGAGGGTAAAGCACAAATCCAAATGTTAGAGGTGAATATAAAACACACTGGTTGAAATCTTAGACACGCCACTGTAACAGTTGACATGAATAAAATATCGTGCATTTCATAATATTCAAACCATAGCATACAAAAAAAATGTTAATAATAATAGTTTCTGCTTACTTTACTAAGCCTTTTCTTTATTTCACTGACTTGAATTTCAAAGAATATTTTTACTATAGCTAAAAGTTAGAAATGTTGGAATATACATACTAATGTAACTACCGTAAAACTGTCTAATTTGTACACTTTTTTTTTGTGAAATGCTGGAAAAGTTATTTACACATTTTAATTTAGAGTAACTACAGCACCCTTTTATACTGCTCTATAATTCAGTAGGACTTAAACTAAAAACCTTACTGTCTAAGAACTTGTGTGTGTGTATGATGGGACACTAAATAGTTAAACACTTGTATACTGGATCAAGTTGCATGAACTAGTTATATACTTACGTGACCAACATTAAACTGATTCCCTTTTATTGGTATTCATTTATAATTAACTTGTTAGTGATTTATATTGTGAAGGATCAGGCTGTTGTGGTCCAACTTACAAAAGTTTCTGTGGCTGTTTCTGATACAGTAACATCCATTACAGATCCCAGATCATCCCTTGTTTGGATTTGATTGGTCAGAAATAGAAGGAGCACACAGTCCACATGTAATGGGCTGCTGGGGACTGTTTATTAATTTGTTAGGGAAGTAAGGGGTTTTTGTAGAAGTGAAGTCATGGTGGAAGGTTTGGTGTATGACCTCTGTTGTTTTTTTACAAAAGGGTTTAAAGAAGTTCCAATGATAAGGCTATTCTGCAAAACGTATCACATACTCAGTGTTAAACACCAAGTGAGCCAAAGTTATTCAATATCCAGGGATACTTTTAAAACAAACTTCAATACCAAATTCAAACATTTATACACTACAGACTAGAATATACTACACAAGAAAGACAACAACTTTACCACAGAAAAGTAAAGTATTAAAGAAAAAATGGAACAAAGTGTTATGGTACTTTAAAAAGTTACATCTTATATGTAAAGATAAAAGAGCATAAATTTACATCGCATCAAAATGAAAACGGTGAGCTTCCTGCAGCTTCTCACGCCGGTCTTCTCTTCTCTCCTTCCAGTGTAGTGCTCCGATGATTAAACCAATAAATCCACACGTTCCAAGAAGAGCTGCAAAAGTCAGAATAACTAGTCGGCTAGGAGTCACGAAAAGTTTATTAATCCATTTATCTGGCTTGTCTGATGGATGTGGGATTACCACCATCTGTGAATTCGGAATAATTTGAGTCCATACCCGTTTCTGTACTGCAGAATTTCTGTGTCCAGGAATTCCTACTGTTAGCTTGTCAATGAAGTTTGGTGTCTGTCCTAAACCAAATACGACGTATGGAAGCTGTAATGAGAAATGTGCAGACTGCGAAAGCTGTGCTGCACTACTGACCTGCGGTGATCCATTTGGTCGTGTGGTGTAATACTGAATAAGAGGACCAGGCTGGTTCGTTCCGTAAGGCACACGTTCACCGGGACAACTAACATAACAACGTCCATTTAACACCAGAACTTTTATGAAATAGGCATCATAATCAAATGTGTTTTGTAATGCATATAATTTCCACGAACCCTCACTTTTCCCAGAAATTATTAAATCCATAGTTCCATCCTCAAATATGTCATAGAAGGCTGGAAGTTGTGGATTCGGGATTTTACTTAAATCTCCCTGTTTCCAAATTATTTCTAATGTTCTTCCCAACAAACAACCTGAACAAGGAGTATTACGCAGAACAACAGTTTGTCTGACTTCTTTACCTTCTGACCGTCTCTTCAGCACAGTCACAAAATCTGGAAAACCATCCATATCAAAATCTGCAACTCTCAGAGTTAGAGAAAGAGTTAGGTTATCAAAAGGAGTTGAATCATCATCTGGTAAACTATAGCTCCACTGTATATCACCCTGCTTGAAGTCCCGTATCCAATATTGCCATTCATCATTGTCATTTAAAACCATAATACCTCCCAATTTACAAGAATGATCCTGACATACTGGAACAACATGTTCTAGTGATCCATCAAGATCAATATCAGTAAAAGATGACTGACCAAACTTTGATACATTTTGTGGATTTGGTACAGACTTCCAGTAGCTAAAGTTTCCTTCCACAGAACTTGTCCAGTATTCAAACTTTTTCTGTCCTGTTACCAATAAATCAGCTGCCATATCACCATTCAAGTCCAAAAATGCACAGGAGTGTGGAATCCGTAAAGGCTGATTAAGTGGATTGGCAGCTTCTTGCAGTGTAAAATTACTAGAAACACTTCCTAGCCAATAGTACCTTTTTCCATCTTCTCCTTCCCCAAACATATCTGCAATCATATCATTATTATAGTCCATGATCAGAGGTTGTCCTTTCATGGTAATTTTAATAGGTGTGTTACATTGTACAGTGTCAAAATTTCCCCACAACACTCTAATGCTAAGCTCTGGGTATAAGTCAGGAATTTTGACTGTTATTAGAATATCCATTTTGGAATCTCCATTAAAATCAGCTGGCATAACACTTGTGATGATCCCTTCATCAATGCTGCACACAATTCTTGACCTCCTCAAAAACGGTTTTATGGAATAAGAAATTAACACCTCGAAACTTTTTCCATTATTACTAATGACAAATACGTCAGTTAACTTGTCAGAATTGAAATCACCGTATGCAGCTAAAATTCCATAACGATCACTTTCTGACTGGAACACGTCAAATGAAATATCTTTAAGACAGTTGACCTGGGGTTGAATGTAAAAACTAATCATTATTACACTAAGTAAATTAATATGAAATAGTGTAAAATGACAAAAGATCGAGATTTTTTCTTTACCTTGGACATAACTCTCTTTCCACATTGCTAATGTTTATAACAACGTAACGAAAAAACAAAAAATAAGTTATACCTACTGCTGTGGGTGTAGGCCTAGCAACATTAAAGATAACGTAAATCTACTAGCCTAAAACTTTACCATTATTCCAGCCTTTAGCTACATCGTCACATTGACCGAGTCAATACGGTTACTTTCTTATTTTCTAAAGGCATTACGGTTTCAGTATTTCAATTCAAAGATTCAAACCAAACTCTTAAGATAAGTAAGAGTCAATTGTTCATTTTTTAGCACAACGATAACGGCGAATTATTTCTGAAATAATTATAATCTAACTATTAATACAAACAGTTAATGTTCATCCGAATTCTTACTTAATAAACCTGTGAGTGTGATAAATCATGACATAATTCATAAACAAATTCACTTCCTGTTTCCTAAAATAATGTAATGTTGTCATGGAAAGAAAGACGACTAGTATATAATTAAATTACAATGCGCCTCTCTTCGTATATTCTTAAATTCAAAAGAAAATAAGTAAAACTGTTGTTCATTATGCCCTCTCTTCCATTCCCGTTTATGCAAAATTTAGATGAATATTTTATACAAAAATTCAATGAAGGGTGTAAGTTCTGTTAAAACACATTCACAACTTTTAAATATAATGGTTGTAGTAATAATATATTTAAATATGTTTGTTTGAAGTTAAGCACAAAGCAACACAATGGGCTATCTGTGCTCTAACCATCACAGGTATCGAAACCCAGTTTCTAGCGTTGTAAGTCCGCAAACATCCTCTGTGCCATTAGATGGGGGTATTTAAATATGTAATGACAGTGGTTAAAGTGAAATAAGGAGGGAGTGATAGTGCCTTATCCACAAAGTCATTCCTTTCAGAAAAAAATTTAAAAATCACCTATCTAATACAACATTCTATTAAGCCTATATTTAAATAACGTTGTGTGATAAGGTAAAAGGTTCGCCACGTCCATCGCACCTACATTCACCCAATAGTGAATAGTTGGCCATAATTTTAATATTTTTCGCGTATAATCGTATTCTCCTTATTTTCGTGCCTCTACAACAATTTTCATTACTCAGCTCATTTTAGCCTCTTGTTCCATACAGCTAGGGAAGCCTCTCCTCGAATATTTTCTTAGACTGGGGATGTCCTCTCCCCCAGCTCACATTCACTTTAACTACTGTAGGATGGTCATTCAAGGGTTGGACAAAAAGGAAAACATAGTGGAAGAGGCTTAATAGCATGTGTTTCACCATTTGGGTGATAGAATTACCTTAGTTCTTTATATCAGTTCTAGAAAATTATGCTGAGGAATTAAGTTCCATTCCTCGATGATGCAGTTTGACATAAATCACGGCAATTCCGTTCAATAATAACGACGTGAAAACCTGATGGGACTTGTGAGATAATATCCATAATGTTATAATGTTTGATATTGTTCTTAGTGCAGAGAAGTTGGTCAGTTTGGGCCAATGTATCACCTGTTGATCGGGGTTCGTTAAACTGTTCTCTGTAAAAGTCAGCCAAGTCATACTTCATTCTATGCTACTTGACAGCTAATGTATAATAGATGTTACATATTGTTACGTCTCCGTTCGTTAGTTAATTTTCCGTAAATTCGTTCTGGCGAAACTTTAGTGACAGAAGTCCTCTCTTAAATAAAACTGGTTTATTCTTTCTGAATATAACTTTACGATACACTTGATTTGAACATTCGCGCTAAAACAAACGCTATAACAAATTTCAACAATACTCTCTGACTGCCGATCAATTAC